AGTACAGTATGGGCCAAGATACAGTTTGCAATAGCAGTTCGGGGAATGTATACAACCCGGCTTTCTGGCCAGGTAGGGTGCCTGAAGGCCCTGAACTGCAATTGCAAACTGTATCTTGGCCCGTAGTGCAATTATAACTCGTTTTTGTGACTCCCATGTAGTTACCTTTTTTTTTTTTTTTTTTCAAGTTAGATGTCTGTATAAGGTCAATTATATGAACTCCTTTGGGTTCACTAAAAATATAAGGAGCCATTTTAGGACTCCATTTATGTGATTGATGTCCAAAATGAACTCCTGCTTCCAGCATAAAAAAATGTATAACCCACAGAGAAATGAGGTAAACCAACGAATCTTGCTTGTACAATTGAAAGAGCTACAGTTTTTGTCTTTCGGACTCTTTCCAAATGAGAATGAATCTTACCGTCTTCTAGCCGTAGATTCATTCTGAACTCGAATACAAATTATCACAGAGAGAGAGAGAGAGAGAGAGAGAGAGAGAGAGAGAGAGAGAGAGAGAGAGAGAGAGAGAGACTAATGGTTAATAGGTGGTGTCATTTTCGGCAAATTTTTCACCGAAACTGCCAAATTTCCCTGAAATTTTTATTTTTCTTGTTTTTTTGGGATGTGCGATATGTACGTGCTTTAGGGTATATATGTATTCAGTTTAGATCATACTTGCAAGCGGACGCCGTCCGGCCGGTTCTGCACGTGCGGCAGACCGCTGGACCGGACCCACGCGGCGCACGAATGTGCGCCCGATGACCAGTTATGCCCCATCCCCCCCCCCCCAAAAAAAAAAAAAAACGGCCCCATCCGGTCCGGTCCGGGGGGAGGGTGCCGCACGCGGCAAAGCGGACCGGACCGGACGCTCGTCCCGTCCGTCTGCTTGCAAGTGTGGTTTAGATGTATTTGGACCAGTAACGAAAAAGTTGGCAAAAACACAGAATTCGGAGAAAAGTTTGGCGAGCTCCAAAAAATACTCCGAATAATAATTTAGGCTTTTACAGTGCTTTTGAGTTTTTTTTTCTTCGTTTATTTTTGCCTTCTCGTTTTTTTTTTTTTTTTTTTTATGTTTGTATTATGAGTCTGCATTGTTTGGTCGTGAAATTTTCGACGACATTGATTGTGGTGATGTGGTGAAAACCCCCGAATTTGGGCCTTCCATTAAGTTAAACGTAGAATGAAGAATACCGTCATTTTTTTTTTTTTCCTGTTTTTACTTCTTTCATTGTGAACGATTGATTCCTGTGCCAAGCCCGGTGGCTCCAGCCTTGGCTTATTGGGATACTGGTCGGCCGAGGCTCGGACTTGATAGCTGGGCGGGGTACTGGTGGTTTAAATTAAGTACGACACAGCTGTGAAAATTTGTGGGGCTAGCTGCTGTTTTGTGGCTATTACGAAAACAGATCCACACAAAAATCGTGGTCTTCATGTTCACCTGGGCCAGAATTGTGGCCTGATGCATTGCACTGTTTTAAGGACATTCCTGGCAAATGATACTGAACAGAGGAATCAGCACCCGAATGCGGTGATGATTCTTCAAGAACTTTCAAATTTCGAGATCCCATCCCAGCCAGAGTCTGCGAAAGATAAAATTTTGAAAAATTTGTGACCCGCTATTCCTTGGAGAACTGCGGCGGAGTACGGTCCTAATCTTCTCTGTTCTCTGTTCTCTGTACCATTCCAATTTTAACGGATGTCCCGAAGGACGGGAGTATATATTCCCACAAAATGTCATTACTCTTCATAGTAACAGAATACATTGTACCTTGTGATGTTTCTGCACAAGATGTAGTACTCGTATGTTTTCCGTTTTTTCGTGAGTGGTGTGGCAAGGGTGAAATGCGCTAGGTAGATGTTGAGAAGTCGTACACATGCCGATGTCCTTAGCTACCTGCGAAAATGCCTTCGTCACAATGCACGTTGTTAGAAAACGGAAATCGAAATAGGGATTCGAAGTCCGAGCTCATGACCTCTCTGCATGCGTGTACCATTCAGGCAAATGCTGTGGGTGGACGAGAAACGCATGCCACTATTCTTCACTTTACCTGGGAAAGTGCCTTTGCTTTTTTTTTTCGTACTTTTTTTTTTTCCAGGGAAGAGCTTGTACATTACAAGCTGGGAATTGGGCTCGACATCCCTCACAAAAGCAACGCTTGTCCGCTGATAAACAAGGCATCACCGGCCAGGTTCAGTAGAAGACCCGCTGTGGCCGACCATGTGTCACCAACCCCAAAATCAAGGAGAAATTGAGAAAAATGAAAAAGCCATCTTTCCTGCCGTACTGTTAAGAATAACAGTAGTGGCCTTTTTTTTTTTTTTTTTTTTTTTTTTTTTAAAGCAAGACTTCCCCGGCCGGTGCTAGGGGTGCTGATACAGTAGTGACTCTAATAAAGGCCAGGTGTAGATGAATGTGACTGCAATGACATGCAGAGCTAGGCAGAAGAAAGTGCAACTGAAACGTCGTTCTTGCTTATTACAGTTGGTACACCTGTATTCATTGGGCATTTCGGAACAACTGCTTTTTTTTTTTCCTCTGTTTTCTGGTGTTTACAATTTTTTCTCCCCCATTCTCTCACGTCGCACATCCCAAATCTAGTTTTGAAAAAAAAAAAAAAAAAAAAAAAAAGTCTTATCCCTTGGCTGGTGGGACCCTGTCCAAGGCAATTCAGAAGTTCAGAGTTATTTTAATCTCCATTTTTTCTCTTTTTTTTAAGGTCGTCTGAGCACAGACCGATTTGATATTTGATTACCAACAGTTCAAGGGTGTACTGTCCCTGGGATTTTTAAACAGATACTTTGTATGGGGCCTTGGGCACAGGGTCCCGATGAATGAATGGGGCCTTTGTCCAAAAAAAAACGGAAAAAAGCAAAAAGAAAAAAGAAAAAAAAAGAAACAGTTCATGAGTGTGCAATCAGACTCGGCTTATTCACACTTCGTCATGCATGCAAGCAGCGATACAGCAAACTGGCGACATGCGCCCACACAGTACTCGAAGATATCGTGACCAGATAAGAGTTCTCTTCCAACTGGCTATGGCGACTGCGCGCCCACACAACTCACTGTTCGCACTCTGGATCACCCTGGATGTCCCACACGCAACACTCAGTATCCATACGCAACACACACACACACACTATGCTACAGCTATGGCAGCGCTAGCTGCCACTACCCTATCGCTACACTACGCTTCTCTGCCCACTTTGTCTTCGGGCACACTGCAGACCTCCTCGCACAAGCTGTTGAGGCAGCGCTTCCGCATGGCATCCGCAGGAATGAATGAATGGCTGGACGCAGCCTCTTGATTTATACTTCTGCGCTGCGCTGCGTTGGTCTGCCCTGTGTCCCCTTGGCCCTTGGTGCACACAGTCCCAGACGGTACTTGCTGGACAGGACCGGAGTGCCTAACTGGGACTGTTGACTCAGCGGGGTGGCCTACCACCACTTGACCACTTGCCTCTGTTCAACGTAGGCTCACTCCGAAAGGCCACTTCTAGAACCCTCTGACTTGGCCTTTCGGTACTGTAGCAGCTACGACTTCGCCCTTTCAGGTAAGTAGCAGCTACGACCTTGACCCTTCAGGCATCCTACAGCTACGACTTCGAACTGTCTAGACTCCTACCCTACAGGTCTACAGTTCGATTCTCTTCTACCCTGTGACCTACGAAAACCTACCTACCACTGGTGGTCCTACAGGTCACAGGTTCAAGTCTACAGGTTGACACTAGTACTGTACACAGGTAAGACGGGGAACTAGGGATCGAGCCCTGGGATCTGCATTCGCTACTGCGAACTGGTGAATACCGTTTCACTCCCGCCGGCCTAAATTCGAGGTCCTCTGAGAAAATTTCAGTCCGAGGCAGGACCTTTAGCTCGCTGTTGTCTTTCGTAGGCGTGGACTATATCGGGAGCTGTCTCTAGAAGTTCAGATCTCGTAAACCAGCGGTCATCTTCTGGTTCTTGATAACTAAAATGAACCTTGTACTGTTTCTGCGGACGACCCCTACATCCAGTTCTGAAGACATCTTCAGCTACTATACCGTCAATGTCATATCCTCCATCCATATCCGGTGGGATCATCGATCTACGGGATGGAAACTGATCACTTGTTTGACAAGGTAACAACTTTGATGCATGGAACACTGGGTAAGTGTGGAGGTGTGCTGGGAGTTTTATAGTATAGGACGGTCCATCTTCGCCGCCCTTGACTTCCAGAACAGGCCACGGTCCTCTATATGTGGGCAGTAACTTCTGCGAGATGTTCTCGTCAGGTGCAAGCTCTCTAGAACTGACCCAGACTAAGTCGCCTACTTGAAACTGTGAAGGGCGACGATGTTTGTTCGCCTGCTCTATCATCCTATGCTGGGCTTTCCTGGGGTTCTCTACGACAGTAGCTAGTTCTTTCTCGTGCTGTACAGCAAACTCCCTGGTCCCGGGTGGTAGTCTGTGAATCTGATCCCGGTTGAGTCCTTCAAATGGTCTGCGCGGTCTAAAGGACTTGTGCAGTTCGTTGGGAGTGCGGCAGGTGGACAAATGCACGCTGTTATTATACGCACTAGCTACTTTAGGCAACATCTCGTCCCAGTTAATCTGATCTGGCCTAATGTACATGCGCAGAACTTGCTGTAGGATCTTGTTCATTTGCTCTGTCTGACCGTTAGTCTCTAGATGATGGCCGGACGACATCAACAACTTAGATCCGTATACTCCCTTGAGTTATTGCTAGTCCTGGCTAGTAAAGCGACTATCTCTATCGCTAACTATAGACAGTGGGATTCCATTCTCGCTCACCCAACAGTCAAAGAATCTCCGTATAACTAAATCAGTACGTGCCTCTGAAGGCAAAGGAACAAAAACTGCGTACTTACTGAAACGGTCAACTATGACCATGACTTGGCTCTTGCCATGCCTACTCTTGACTTGAGTGTCCATGAAGTCTATGGACACTGAGTCTCCTGGCTGGTCTGGAATCGGTAAGGGTCTGAGAAGACCTAACGGCGCTCGCGTGCGACTCTTGTTACGCTGGCAAACCTTACAACTGCGAACATACTCTACGCAGTCATTCTTACTCTACGCAGTCATTCTTCATCCCTGGCCAGGTATACGCGCGCATCAGATTGGCTGAAGTCTTTTGCCAACCGAAATGACCCTCTGTGTCGTGGCATTCCCCCAAAATCAGGCTACGAATCTCTTCACTACTGGGAATGCACAGGCGGTCAAATACATTGGTCTTCTCGAAGAGCAACCCTTCAGTAGTGCAGTAGTTTGGCTCAGTCTCTGGGGCCTCTTTAACTTTCTTAAGGAGGTCACTATAGATAGGGTCCTGCGCATAGGCCTCTCTAACTTTCTGCTGCAGGTCCTTCCCTATATCGAGATAATGCACTATCGCCCCAAAGTAATCTGCCCTCCTACTCAGAGCGTCCGCAACTACGTTGTACTTCCCTTTGACAGGCTTGAGCTCAAAGTCGTACTGATCTATCTCTGCGGCCCACCTAGTAAGCTTAGGTGTCATCTTGGCCTGCGTCATTAACCATCTTAACGTCTCATGGTCTGAGTAGACTTTGAAGTGCCTCTCAAGCAAGTAGTGCTTCCAGTGGTCTAGTGCTTGCCTGAGAGCGTAGAGTTCCCTCTCATAGGTAGATGTTGCGACCTTCTCTGAAGGCATCCTGGCGGACATGAACTCTACGGGTCTATAGCCATTGCCATCGTCTTGCTGCAACACCGCGCCTATGCCGTGTTGACTAGCATCGATCGTGACGACAAAAGGCAAGGACGGATCGGCGACTTTAAGGACTGGATACTCTATCAATGCCTGCGTCAACTTCTTCATGGCAGACGTACAGTCCTTGTCCCACTTCCAGATG